GCAGTTAGGATATGTCGAAAATCATCATTTTACCTGTTTTTCTCAGGGCAGTGTGTTACTTGCTGCCAAGTTTCCTGAACTTCTTCACATACAGCACCTTGTCAAAAATTTGGCCAAGATATAGACAAGTTGGTTATTCTACTGCCCAAAATATCCTTTTAGTCTACAGCAAGGTATTCTGATTTAGGAAACAGAAGAGCCTGAGTATAATGGGACTTCCAGCAGCACTTACGGTTCAGAATCCCTGAAGGCCTTCTGAAAATCTGCCTCTGAGGCCAAAAATATAAATGCAATTTAAAAAGGTTAGCCTCTCAAATGGATTTCTACACATTTTTAATAAATTGATTGAAGTTCTCATATGTTATGTAGCTCACATATTCATACTCAGGGACATTTGCTGATTGATGTCAACAGCATAAGGTTTAAACAACGTTGAAGAAATTAATGTTTCAATACAAATCATTTTACATTTATACCATTGGGTCTTAAATAAAATAGCGACATTACACTTACCTTTTTGTGCCAACTCATGAAAGCAAGGATGGCTTCCCAATATCCAGCAAGTAACATCTTAAGCCCCACTGAATTCAGAATACTTTTATCATCTTGTTTCTCAATGTACACTGTATGCACTGCTTGCATCTGACACAGAATGATAACTGTCAAAAACTGAAAGACTTCTGTCATGTAATCAATTTCTCTACTAATTCAGAACTGTCCCCTGGTGCTTTTAGTTTTAAGTCTCCCAAGTAACTGTTAACTTTTCCCCATTGGAAATGCTTTTCTGAGCTAATATGTATTGGTGTTGGGAGGTTTTTCTTAAACTTGATCCGAATTTTTGTTCTTTCATGATTTCATTCCACTGTACTTAATTATACCTTTTTGAATGCCTGAAACATTCTACAACCTGGGACCAGTTTCCACCAATCTCACTTACCCTGAACAGAAAGTTGTCCCAAGAATTGCTACTAGTAAACTGATTTGCCTACTACTTGAGTAAGGTCCTAATCAATAGTAACAAAGGCAGCAGAATCTAGTTTGGTACTTACATTCTTTGGTTTGATATTTATCCTCTCAAGTATTCATAGAGTTGTCATATCTAAAGGGTGCATCTACACGTGTGTTTTACTGTGGAGTTGGCTAATTAGTTTTGCAGTAAAGCATCACTGTCCACTCGTGTGTGGGTATTAGGGCACAGTTAATTAATTTATTCCACTGTAACATAGTACTGTTAGGGAAAGTACTATCTTATGCTGTAGTCAGTTATTGCGCTGCGATGCACATGTGGATGGTGATCAGGTCAGCAGCACTTGAGCTAGGAAGGAGCAGCCTCAGTTTGGTAGCAAGCTCAGGGGGTCAGGCACAAGGCTCTGCAGTTTCAGCACTCTCCTGCCCTAGCCAGCCCCTCCACCACTTGATGTCACCACCTGGAGCCCGGGGCTCACCCCCTGAACCAGCTGCCAGTCCACAGCTGCTCCGCCTTAGCTCCAAGTGCTGCTGTCCTGGGCGCACATGTAGAAGCTGTGCCTAGAAGCAGTATACTCCAGAGCAAACTGTTCTGGAGTTTATCACATCGCATTAATTACACATGTAGGTGCACCCAAACAGTAGTTACATAGCAAACCTATACCCAATATATCTTTTAAATCTTTCTTGTTAAGTGAGACCATGTGCATACTGCAGCAAGCTAGACTTCAGTTCCTTACATTTCTGCAGCTTCACAAAAATGGAGAATTTTCACAGAATTGTCTAAAACGTGGAATCAGATTATCATCCTTATTCCTGTTGCTGCTGCTGTTGTTGGGGCAGCTTGAAACTGGGATACATATATCTTTTGGATTATTTCAGTAGAGTCAATAGCAAAGTAATGTTTAGCAGTGTGCATATTTAAAGTGTTCTTTTTAGGTCTGAGGCACAATACCCCCATGAGTTGAATTGGGCACTTCAGAATTCCCACTGAGATTTTTTTCAGGTTTCCTCAATGGAGAGGAACAACACTGGTTTGGTTCCTATCCATTCTTGGAAAATGCTAACCTCCTCTGTAACCAGAAGCAATTTTTAAACATATTTTTAAAAACAAATATGAAAAATATGATTCCACAGCTGCAGGTTCAGAGAAGATATAGAGTTCTGCCTGTTAAACAATAGTAACACCCATATGTATACAACTTTATAAAAGTTGACATATTTTAGAGTCCTATATAGACGAGAGGGAAAAGCTCTTAGAATCTGTATTTTAGCATTATTTTATTTTTTTCTAATGGGTTGCCTTTTTCAAATATTATGTCTGCCATCATGGTGTCATATTGCACTATTGTATACAGAATGAGTTCCAGTGATATTTCTTCAATCAGAAGTTATCATAAAATATACTGGCCTTAAAAAAAATGCATAACCTTTTTATCTAGCAACTTCTGCCTTTAAAAATACTTCTCCTGTACAATTTAGACCTGCACCTGCTACTTTCTACATGTGATAACCTTCCTTCATTACCATGCAAACAAATTTAGACATTAATCCCAAAGGAAGGCCATAAAATTGGTTTTGCTCTGCCCTTACATTTCCTTGCTATTTACCTCAGCTAAATCCATGAACCAATCTCTAGCTTTGCAGCTTTACTTCCTGAACTCATGTATTAATGATATGTCAGAATCTAAAGCTCCCTGAAGAAAAGAGGTTGCCATGGGATACTGAGTGCTTAGGAGAAAAGTGTAGAAAGACTTATGCAGCTAAGAAAGGCTCCCAGGACCTTGCTGTGTCAGTCAGTATTGCTTTTTATCTCTTTATATTAAACAAAATCACTGCTCTAGGAGTCACTGGGCTTCTGTCAACCCTGATTGCTCCATGATAGTGACCAACATGACCATAGGAATCTGTCACTAGAAAGAAAAGTCCCCTGGTTCTCTAGAAACTCTCACTTGAATGAGCGACCTCTTCCAGAGTACTTATAGACCCATTTCTTCAATGGTTCCTGCCTAAAATCATCAACATCTACCCATTTAAACCTGTGCCCAACCTGATACGCGAAATCGATTCATGTACTAAAAATAACTGGAACTTTGCATTGCAACAAATAAAAAAGGACCTCCCATGGTCTGAGGGAGGTGAGTGAGGGCAGACAGATCCTGCTCACTCATATGTTAAAGCAAAGCTTCATTTTGAAATGCATATGAGAAAAGAGGGGAAGGTTACAATCTGTCTGCCAAAGGATAATTTCCAGCTTCCAGAAAACTATATTTGGTCAAAAACATTGGAATTGCCTGAGGGGCTAGAGAGAGAGGTGGTGCAAATGAGAAATTCACTGTGTGCAAAAAGAAACTTACCTACTGATGTACTTCCAAGCACTCTCATATTCCCACAGTGGAGAGCACAGTGGTCACATTCAAATCAAATCTTTATAATTATCTCTTTTCCAAGCATTTAACATTACCACTGCAACAGGGAATCCAGTGAGCAATCAATATGTTAAAACAAGTCCACAGAAGTCATTTGCTGAATAATATTAAGCAATGGAAAAGTTTGCAAATAGACTGTTTTGTTAGCAGACAAATTACAAAACTGAAAAAAAGGACTAGATTCACCTAATGCATCATTTATGCATTTTTTTCCCATGTCTAGCTGTGAAGCAAATTCCAGGCATAGGTATCTGGAAAAACTTTAACTGTCACCACTACACAGTATTTTCATTATGTTTTAAGGAATTATATAAGACCATATTCTTGAACTGGGGAAAAATCAGCATGCATTTACCAGTAGTTCTCTCTAGCAGGACTCACTGAGATTTTGCTTCTGCATCACCAACAGTTGTGCTCTGTCACTAGGTACATAAGCCATCTGTTACCACCTAAATAGACAGGCTAAAGTTTTTATTCTCCTCTGCTCTTTCCCTTTGTGGATTCATTTACACCAGTGTGAAGTGAGGTAAAGTATAAGAGGCAGGCAGAATTATCCACATAGGTGCTGACTGTGGGTGCTCAAGCACCCATGGCAAGAAGTTCACAGGTGCTCAGCACCCATAAGCCACAGCAGGCTGTTTGCAGACATTAAACCTGATTCACTTAGTTATTAGATAAAAGCACCAAAAGAGCCCCACTAAAGCACTAGATCTTTACAGATACTGCAGAGCTAGGTTGAAGTAATGCCCCTCTTCTTCTAGGCATGCATGGGGCTTGGTGCAGGAACATGCTGATTTTAAAGTGCTGTTTTGGGTTTTTTTTAATGTCTGCAAGCACCCAACCCAAGCAAAAACCTAAGTCAGTGCCTCTGCATCCTAACATGCACAGATACATCAAAACCACTTCTGCCTTTGGTGATCTAGGAATTTCAGAGAT